ACAAAAATAACCAAAGCACTGGACAGTTTGTGATAGGACATCGGTTTTCCTCATCTCTAAGATGAATGGGTCACACTCAATGATCTCTAAGGCCTATCTATACGCTGCAGGGACATTTACTGACACTTTCATAGACAGCCTTTTTCTTTTTAAATTTATTTATTTTTAGTTTTCAAAATTCACTTCCATAAAATTTTGAGTTCCAAATTTTCTCCTATCCCTCACCTCCCCCCACCCAAGACAGCATGCAGTTTCATATAGGCTCTACATATACATTAATATTGAACCTATTTTCACATTAGTCATGTTGTAAAGAAGAATCAGAACCAATAAGAGAAACCATGAGAAAGAAGAAACAAAAAGAGAGAGAGAGAGAGAACAAGGCAGCCCTTTTCTAGCAGCCCATGTATTGTACATCTTTTCTACGTGTACAGTCCCCTAAAACTGCAGGACGACCTTGGCTGCCAGCTGAAGCTCATTGATTAAGCTCACAACTAAATAGTACATGACAAAAGTTTTTATTCTGATACTGATAGTGCAAATACAATGTTTGATGTAGGAAGAAAAGTTTGTTGTGGAGGTAGGGCAGGGGGAGGTAAGAAGAGGCCAAAAGAAGCAACTGGAAGAGACTGTTTTTGATATATACCTTCTGCTGTATCCCTACCCTCAGTAGTCCCTTTCCATACCCAGATCCCTCACTGATGCCCAGGATTCAGCTGTTACACAGGCTCCTAGCCCATGTGGTACAACTATACTTCAGAAGGCAGCCACTGGAAATTGATTCACAGGTCTTTATAAGGTGCCTCCTATGTCCTGGGCACTGCACTAGGATAACAACTACAGCATGAAGGCCACAGGACCTTGGAGGAAGAGAGGTCATGAAAGCCATGGATACTGGGAGGTAGAAACATGGTCTATGAAAAGGAGTGAGGACTTCTCATACAGGTACAAACACTCTACGAGGGAAAGCAAACACATCCCCTGATCCCCCCCCTTCTTCTTTGTGCCTGACCCTCATTGCTCTGACTATAAAAGGGAGACATGCTTCGTCATGTGTTCTCCAAGATCAAGATTGTTCATTGCAGTTCCTCAGAATTTGCCTGCCTTGGGCTATTTTTCATCATTGCGGACACTGCTCTTCTGGCGTCACTCAGTATCACTTTATACAAAAGTCTTCCGTGTTTCTCTGAACTCATATTTGTCATTTCTTATGGCACAATTAATATTATTGTCCATCACAGTCATGTGCTGTAATTCACAAGATTCCAGAATTTTAGAGTTGGTAGGGACCTCCACAGGCATCCAGTCCACCCCCATACTCAAAAAGGAATCCCCACTACAACCTATTTAACATATGGTCATCTAGCTTCTGATTAAAGATTCTATGGAAAGTAAAGCCACCACTTCCTCAATCATTACTACTTTTTACTGATATCACAAAAAGATCTGCTGTTGATACTTCATTCAGGTCCATACTTTTTTCCGTTGACTTCCTTGGAGAACATGCCATTAATGTATTTTGGATCAAGTTTAGAGACTTTTCTCTATAGCTCATTTTGGGTTGCAGAAAACAGAATTTTGTAATAAGTGATATTTATTCAAAGCATTCCACTTTTATTAGTCTGCTAAACATTCCTATCTGTAATACAAGTATATTCCATAGTCTTTTCTCTAATTCTCCATTCAATACTTTATGGATGGAGAGTCAAAGCAATAGGATAGACAATGAGATGGGAAGAAAATCAACACATTGCCTTTCTTTTTTTAAAAATAATTCATAATGTTTCCCCTAAACTGCTCTTTTCTTTATTACTTTTAATAAGCATAACATACCTATAGTATTTGGTGACCTCACTTCAATCTATGCTTTAACTTTTACTGGATTTACAATTGCTTGAATAATGAGTAAATAAATGTTTTCACCCTGTATGGTATTCCATCTTCCATCTCTTAATCCTTTATATAAATTGTCCCCCATACCTATAGTATACTTCTTCTTTACTTCTCTTTCTAAGATTCCCTAGTTCCTTTTCAGACTCAGCTTGAGTGCCATCTCTTAAATTAGAGCTTTCCCCATCCTTTCTGTCTTTAGCCCCATCCCACCCCCACCTTACCTTGCACCAATGTTACTTTTATTTCCATTGTTCATATTTTTCACTTATCTATTTGTGGACATGTTTCCCATCAACCAGTCAACAAACATTTTTAAAATGCCTACCGACTGTCAAGCACTGTGCTGGGTGCACCAATAGACTATAAACTCCTTGAGGGGAGAGACATTCCCAACAGAATGCACATAATTTATTTATTGGTATACGTATGGTTTCCTCCAGTAAATGTAACCCTCAAAGGCTCTTCTGTTTCTGTCTTTGTGTACCAAGTGCTGAGCACAAGACTTGTCACATGGTAGGTGCTTAATAAAAATGCTTGTTGAGTGAATGAATGTATATGTGAAAATACTTATTCATGTGTGCTGTTCTACTTTGGCACTGATTAGGGAGGGGTGATATGTTTCCCAGACCCTCTGCACAATCTGGTTGGAAAGATTTGTTCCATTCTTTGGAGGATACTTTTAAAAACACCGTGTATGTACATTTTCCTAAGAGATGTGCCATGCTTCAGTCTATATTGATTTATCAATACACAACCTCTAGAGGTTTTAAAGGTCTCTCCCTTTTAATTATGCCCTCCTTGTCTTTCTCACCCCCTGAAATACACCCCAATATGCAAAGATTTAATCTTGTGGGAGCCATCCTAGGCAGTTACATAGACCTATAACCTTATATGATTAATGAGATTTGGATAAGGATTCTTGTTCTGATTGAAGTTCAAGTAGAAATGCAAAAAGGAGGTAAAGCATAGGTGCATTTTAAGAAATTGGCATATTACATATGTGTGTCTGAATGAAATGCAAGCCTGCTACAGCAGGAGAAAGTATTGGGTTGAAAAATTACATGCTGAAGGTTACACAGTTTCATAGACAAAAGCAAGGTATTTATAAGCTATGTTGATGTACTATGCAAAGACTGGACTTAGAAGAAGGAGCCCTGGGTTCAGATCCCAATTTAACCACTTATTAGCTGTGTAACCCAGTCAGTTTACTTCTAGGAACCTCAGTTTGATTCGTCCCTAAGATAAAGGTTGGAGGCAAAAGAATGTCAGTAAAAGACTGGTCTTCCGCCTAACACAGACAAGCCATAGAACCACGGGAAAAAAATCTCAGTGTCCCCAAGTAGCACTCTATGACAGTAAATTACAGCCTTAGCATAGTGTGTGACATGTAGTGGGTGTTTAATTAATGCTTCTGGAGGGACTGACTGACTAATTTGAAGAGATCTGCATCTCTTTCGGTGAAGGGAGTTTCCCCAGCAGAAGTTTCCTCTAAATGATGGAATCACAGAACAACAGGTCCAGGCATGAAATAAAATAAAATAATGATAACAACAACAACAATAATACTTGCAGAGTTGTTGTGAGGAAATCACATTACAAAGCTTAAAGTAAATTGTGAGTTAATTCCATTGCTCTAGAAAAACAATGAAGACCCAGTAGTAATGAGCTAGACCCTGATTCATGAGTAGAATTAGACCATTAAGAGAGAAAGAGAGAGGGGGCATTTCAGGAAGAAGATGAAGCATTCTTCTGAGTGCTTACAATGTGCCTGGCATTGTGCTAGGCAACAGAAATTGTAATAATACCAAAGAAACAATGTCTGCTCTCAAGGAGCATGTATTCTCCTGGCCGATAACAGGTGTCCCTACAGGCATATACAGAATGAAAATAAAGATAATAAATGCAAGGTAGTTAAATACGATGGAGGGAGGGTGCTAACACTGGAGATCAGGAGAGGTCATGTAGAGAAAGGAATCTTTGATTTGCATATTGAGGGAAGAGAAGTATACTGAGGCAGGGCTATAACATATACAAAAAGGAAAAAAGTATAAATGAGCAAAATCCATCCTGTAATAATGCATAAGGGAATAGTGAAAAAATAAGGTTAAGGCCAAATTATGGAAGATCTTAAAAATCTGAGATGTGGAGTATGGGATTTATCCTGTGAGCAGAGGGGAATTATTAAAGGGCTTCCTGAAAGAGAGTGTTGGTGATGAAAGCCAAGTTTTAGGTGATCAGTTTGACAGTGGTGGGAGGGTGGATTTAAGCAGGGAGAGACTGAGGACAGGCTAACCTTACACGATTGTGAAATGTAGAATTTAAGAATTAAATTGGAATGAAAAGCCAAACACTTGGAAATGCTGATACATTCTCCTGCTAGTGTTGTCAAATTCATCTTAAGATCAATGAGATCTGTCACTGGGAAATGAAAAATGCAGTGTTTTAGAGTAAAGGCAGTTAATCTCTCTGAGCCTCAGTACCTCCATTTGTAAGATTAGGATAATAATAACAGTACCTGCTTCACAGAGTTGTTGCAAAGAAGAAATAACAGTGCATGCAAAGTGCTTCACAAACCTTAAAGGACTAAATAAATGAGTTATTATTAATATTATTATCTCACAAAAATCTATAGGCTTCCTCTTTTGCATGCATGGAGTTGAATTAATTGTTTTCCTGAAAAAGAAAAGATAATAGTTTGTCTTCTGGGGACACTCGGCTTAACTACTAGATATAACTGAAAGTACAGTTGATTGTCTTGCTTCCAAGTTATTCTTATCAGTGAATACTTACACTATGAAAAGTAATGTGTATTGTTTTATCTCTTCAGACTGGATAACTGTTTTAACTTGTGGGTTCTGTAGAAAGAAGTTGCCACTTCCTGACTAAAGTCACTTAGGTGTAAAAGGAACATTTAAGCAATCAATGAAGAGATACTGTCAATTGATACCTTTCCCCAATTTGTTCTTAAATCCAATAGCCTACAGGGAAGCCTGGTCACAGAGGTGCTTTCTGAATCCTCTTCTAAATGACAATGTGACTTACAAGGTAGATAAATGTCTACCACGTTTCCTTGGTATGAGCCTGATCATTTTGTTCACCTTCCACAGTGAGCCACCTCTATGGATTTGGGCTGATGGATGCAGAAGCCATGGTGATGGAAGCCGAAAAGTGGACCACTGTCCCCCAGCAGCATGTGTGTGTGGAGAGCACTGACCGGCAAATCAAGTAATACCCTGACACAGACATATATGATCATAATGCCTTCAATTATACCTCATACTTTGGCTCATAATTTGTCTTGTTTGGTTGTCCAGGGAAGCTAAAGTGCCTTTCCATGGAATGGATGGAATCTCAGGCCAATACATCAATGACTCAACAAAATATTTAGTAAATGTTTACTATGTGTGATGCACTGGAGATAAAAAGATGAAGTGGAAGTAGTCCCTGCCCTAAAGGAGCTTATATTCTTTTTTTTAAATTTTTTTTTTCACTTAACAAGCATTTTTTTCCTCTCATCTCCCTCCCTCCAATTGAAAAAGAGATAGGAACAGAGAGCAAGAGTCATTCAAGGAGCAAAGGGGAGGGAAAGGTGATAGAGAGGGAGGAAGAAAGGAAGGAACAAAGGAAAAAAAGAAAAGAAAAGAAAGAAAACATAATACTCATACTTGAGCAAAATAAATTCTCCCACTGGCCATATCTGAAAATATGTTGTTGATTCTACATCCTGAGGTGGGTAGCATTGATCTTCATCACTGATCTTTTGGAATTATGGTTGATTATTACATTAATCATAGTTCTTAAGTCTTTCGAAGTTGATTACCTTTACAATGTTCTTGTTATTTTATAAGTGGTTCTTATGGTTCTGTGCCCTTCACACCCTGCAGCTGGTGGAGGAGCTTACATTCTAATAGGAGAGATGATTTGTACATAAATAGGTATGTACAAATTGCACCTAGAATAGATGGAAGGTAACCTTAAAAGGAAAGGCACTAGCAGAAAATGTCATTTGATGTTTGACCCATGTCTTGAGGTCTCTAAGTGGTGGAGTTGAGGAGACTGGAAAGATGGGAAGGGTCCAAGTAGGGAAGATCTTTAAATGCTAAGGAATTTATATTTGGTCTTAGAGTTAACAGGGAAGTGCTGGAGTTTTACAGAGTGGAGGGACTCTTTCAAGACTTCACACCATAGTTTGGAGGTGACCTTGATGGTCTCAAAGACCATGCCTGTGGATCTCACTCTAGCAGGCTGTTCCAAGGAGGAAAGAATTATAATGTATATATGCCCAACTTTGAACCTTGTTTCGCTTGTCAATGACCAGCCTAGTTTAAGAAGCATACTCATCTTTTCAGTCATATCAGCTCAGGAAGATTATGTACTAAACTATGAAGAGATTGCAATTTGTCTCAGTTGAGGGACTAATAGACCCCTGAGAATAATTTATCCTTTAAAAAATGACTGCAAATCTTCTGAAGGTTGGCTTTGCAACTCCTCCAGTCTCATACTTTTTGTATCTATTGGTATGTGGGATTAATTGTCCCTGCATTAAAAAGATTTGCAGGACTTAGAGCTAGAAAAGATCTTAGAGATTATTGAGTACAACCACCTTATTTACAGATGACTAAATGTGGCCAATAGCCTCAAATGCTACAGAGTTAACACTCTCTCCTTCCTCAAATTATCTGCATTTATTTCTGTTTGTAGAATGTCTACAATAAAAATAGAGTAGAAATTCTACAGTAGTAGGATTTCTACAATAGGCGTCTCTCCTTTCTCTCCTTTCACTCTTTTTTTAACCCCTTATAGTTCAGCTTCTGACCTGATCATTCCACTGAAACCACTCTCTCCAAAGTTACCAATAATCTCTTAATTGTTAAATCCAGTGTCCTTTTCTCATTCCTCAGTCTCCTTGACCTTTCTGCAGCCTTTGACACTGGTGATCACCCCTTTCTCCTCAATACTCTCTTCTCTCTAGCTTTTCAGGACAAGACTCTTTACTGGTTCTCCTCCTACTTATCTAACCACTCCTTTTCAGACTTCTTTGCTGGATTCCTTATGGGGATAGTGTCCTCTAACCACAGGTGTCCCTTAGGGTTCTATCCTGGTCCCTTTTCTCTTCTCCCTCTTATACTACTTCATTTGGTGATCTCATCAGCTCCCATAGGCTTATTTTTTTTTATTTTTTAAACTTAAATACTAAAACTTAAATATACAATAAGAAAGGAAAAAGAAATAAGGAAAAAAAAGCATTGCTCTGTGCACAGCAGAAAGCAAGAGAGGATTCAAAATATACAGCAATAAATTTCCATTTCAAGGAAGCCTATATAATAAATACTACACATTATATTCCCTATAGGTTTAATTATCTCCCCTCTGCTGATGATTCTTAAATCTACCAAGCTTTTCACAGCCTCTCTGCTGACCTCCAATCTCACATCTCCACCCGCCTTTCAGACATCTCAAACTGGATGTCCAGAAGACATCTTAAACTCAACATATGGAAAACAGAAATCATCATCTTTCTCCTCATCCCCTTTCCCCCTCCTAACTTACCCATTACTGTAAGGGCTCTACCATCCTTCCAGTCCCTCAGGCTGCCAACTGAGGTGTTTTCCTCAGCTCCTAATTATCTCTCACCCCCATGTCCAAACTGTTGTCAAAGCCTATTGATTTCATCTTTGCAACATGTCTTGAACATGCCCCCTTCTCTCCTCTGATTTGGCCACCACTCTGGTGAGACCCTTATCATCTCACACCTTCATTATTGCAGTAGCCCGCTGGTGGGCCTGCCTGCCTCTAGTCTCTCCCCACTCCAATCCATCCTCCATTCAGCCACCAAAGTGATTTTCCTAAAGTGCAGTCAGGTCTGACCATGTTAACTCACTGTGCTCAATAAACTTCGTGGCTCCCGGTCACCTTCTGAAACAAATACAAAATGCTTTGTTTGATGGTCAAAGACCTTCATAACCTAACTCACTCCTACCTTTCCAGTCTTCTTAAAACTCGTTCCCCAACACGTACTCTCTAGTCCAGTGACACCGGCCTCCTGGATGTTCCATGAACAAGATACTTCATCTCCCAACTCCAGGCTTTTCTCTGGCTATCCCTCATGCCTGGAATGTACTACTTCCTCTGCTCTGACTCCTGACCTCCCTAACTTCCTCTAAGTCCCAACTAAAACCTCACCATTTCCTGAAAGCCTTCTCTAATCCTTCTTCATTCTAGTGCTTTCCTTCTTTTAATTATTTCCTTCTTATCCTAAATATAGTTTATTTGCATGCCTTTCTTTGCTTGTTGTCTGCCCCATTGGATTGTAAATTCCTTAAGAATGGGAAATGTTTGGGTGCTTCTTTTTGTATCTCCAGAGTTAAGCATAGTGCCTGACACATAGTAGGTGCTTAATAAATGTTTAATGGCTGATAGAATGAGTATAAACTCCTTAAGGGCAATGATTGTTTTGTATTTCTGTCTGGCGCAGTGCTTTGCACAAAGGGGGTCTCTCATAAATGCTTGTGAAGTTGAATTTCATTTGCCTTTCAATATCTGTGAAATGACACTGTAATCATCTTAATGTGTTTCTTAAGTTTTGGGCTGGGAACCATCATGGACAAGCTTCATATTCGGAGGTTATTGACCTGATGTGGTACCAATTCTGGTTCTGTGGGGATAGTAACTGGCTTTGATGCTTGCTGTCTGTTCCAGAACCATACGACCCAGCAGTGCTGTCCGCTCCATTTACAAAGCTTCTGGCTGCTCCGACAACCCCAACCACCATGTGAACTACCTGGAGCATGTGGTCGTACGCATCACCATCACCCACCCTCGAAGGGGAGATCTGGCCATCTATCTGACCTCACCTTCAGGAACCAGGTCCCAGCTCTTAGCCAATAGGTAGGCTTATGGTCCCCTTGCCTCACCTTCTTCCATTCTGTTTTATTACACATTCCTGTGATCATAGACTGGTATGATGTAAAAATAGAACCAGTGTTAGAGAAAGATCTAAATGTGAACCCTAGATTTGACCCTAGCTGTGTGACCCTCAACCTCTCTGAGCCCCAGTTTCTTCATCTGTAAAATCAAGACAATAATACTTGCACTACTACTTCACAGGTTTGCTATGAGGAAAATGTAGTGGAAAGAGTAAAGGCTTTGGAGGTAGAGGATTTGTTTGATATCCTGCCTCTGCCATTTAATGCATGTGTTACTTTGGAGAAGTCATTTCACTCCTTTGTTGTGGTTCTTGTTTGTAAAATAAGAGGATTCGACTAAATGGCCTTTGAGGTCAGCTGGAAATCTCTGATCTTTTGAACCTGTGACCCCAGAGGGCTATGTACATGTGAATTTTTACTATAGTGCTTATGACAAATCCCAGCCTGTCTTTAGAGGTAGGACCAGGCAGCATCTTCATCCATAGGAAAAGACTGAGAAGGAACTTACTTGTGAAGATGATGTTGGGTAGGTAGATCACTGGGAAGGTAGGCATTCCCAATAAATAAAAAAGTTGGCTGAGCTATTGGGGGAGTGGGGAAGAAGGGGAATTGGAGGAACTGTTTATTTAAGTAGTTACTACTTTTACTGTAAGGGGAGTAATTTATAGGTAAAAAAGAGCATGCAGTTTGTTGGAGTGATAAGGGTTAAAAATGTTACAGGAAAACTGGAAATCCCCTTATGGACTTTCCTTTTACTTAAGTCCCTTTATTGTCCTTCCTTCTAACTTAGACCATTGGATCCCAATATTCCATGTTTTTCCTTCTTTATTCCCCTTCTCTTCAATTAAAACTAGTTGACTTGCTGCCTGGGGCAATTTATTGAATAATGCAGTCCAAGTACTTTCTTTCTCGGGTCACAGGGAGAGACAGTGGTACAAAGAAAAAGAAACCTGGTTTGGGGATCTGAGGACATTGTTTCAAACCCCAGATCTACCACTTACTAACTTATTGCCTGGGTAACCTAGAGCAAATCTCTCTGTCTCTCTGTCTGTCTGTCTCTGTCTTTCTCTCTCTCTCTCTCTCTCTCTCTCTCTCTGACACACACACACACACACACACACACACACACACACATCTATAAAACAAGAAGGTTGGACTATATTTCTTCTAAGGTCACTTCCAGCTCAAAGGCTGGGAGCCTACGAATTCCTACTGTTCTATCAGAATCTCTCCTTGGCCACATTTCTCTTAACCTCAGCATCTCCTCTGCATTCATTATTCCTGCTCCACCATCTTCAACACCCACATTTTCCTTATTCTACTGATGCAGGCCAGGATCCTACAAGAGGAAGAGAAGCATTGGGCCTCAAAGGCTCAAGTCCTCTCCCAATCAATCAATAAGCATTTATCACATGCTTACTATGTGCCATCATATATGGTTTGACACTGGTCTTCACAGCCTCTGGATGATATCAGGTCACCTTATAGGACTCACTTGTCAGGAAACTGGAGGTAATGTCTACTAGTAGGAGGAAATCCCCATTGTTCATTCCCCTGCTTGAGCTGGAGAGGGGCTAAGACAAGAAGACCCTAGACAAGGCTAGTTCAGGGATGGGGAGCCTCCGGCCTCTAGGCCACACCTAGACTGTGACAGACTAACCAGGCGCTTCTATTCCTGAGGTAAAGGGAGGATAAAAACCTATAACCTGGGTTGTACTTATACTTACGTACTTCAAGGATTTTATTTTTAGTCAGCAAGGATAGTCCTGATGATGCAAGTCACTGCCCCTCTGCCCTTTTGTATCAATCAGTTAATCAATAAGCATTTATCAAGCACCTACTATGTGCCAGGCTTTGTACTAGATCCTGGGGAGAAATACAAAAATGAAATAGTCCCTGCCCTCAAAGAGCTTACATTCTATCAGTGGAAATGCCACATATACATATAAATACATACATAATACATACAAAGTAATTTTAGGGAAGGGGGATGAGGAAAGAACTATGTAAACAGTATCACTTGAACTGAGTTTTGAAAGAAGCTGGAAATTCTAATTGCTGAGTTAAAGAGTGAGTGCATTCCAGATTTGGTTACCAGCCTGTGCAAAGTCACTGAGTTGGGAAATGAAATGTTATATAATATGCGGGAAAAAGGTTGCCTGAAATGTAAAGCGATGGAGATAAAATGTAATAGTCTGGAAAGGCAGGCAAAAGAAGCCATAATGTGAAGAAAAGAGTTTTAAATGCCAAGTAGAAGAGATTTCGCTTTACCCTAGAGGCAACAGTGAGCAATTGGAGCTTCTTAAGCAGAGGAGTGATGTGGCCAGCCCCATACCTGAAATGTATTAGTGGGTCAACTATGTGGAGAAGGAATTGGTAAAGGGAAAGACTTCAGGTGGGAACCCAATTAGGAGGCTGTTTCAGTAGTCTAGATGAGAGAGTATAAGGGTCTGAACTAGGTTGGTGGCCATGTGAATAGGAAAAACTGAATAGAAGCCTCTGATTGATAAGACTTGGCAGCCAATTGGATAGAGCAGGAGGGAAGAGGGAAAGTGAAGAGTTGAGGATAGTTCTAAGGTTACAAACCTTGATGACTGGAAGGATAGTTAAGCCTTCCCCAGAAGCAGAGATTTTAGGAAAGAAATGGTCCTTCAGAGTTGCTGTGGCCAAAGAATTCATCAGTATGTGTCCAACCTCCAGATGAGCTTCTCCAAACTTAACTAGGCTAATCCTCAGATGACCTTATGTAACTTCTATTCACATATGTGTATGTAGTATGTGTGCACATTCATATATAGCTATAGCTGTGTGTATATATATGTATGTATGTGAGTATGTGAGAGGTAATATGTTCTTTGCATGTATGAATATATGTATTTGTATGTATGTAATTGTGAGATTATATGAGAGACAATGTTACAGTTTGTATTTATATGTATATGTGTGTGTGTGTGTGTGTGTATGAACTCAGTTCAAGTGATACTGCTTATATGAGTTCTTTCCTGATCCCCCTTCCTGAATTTACTGTGTGCATGTGTGTTTATGTATGAAGTGTATGAGTAGGATGGTTATGGGATAGGGATACAGATAGGGATAAAGATAAAGATAGAGATAGAGAGGGACAGGGGTTAAGGAAAGGGGAAGGTGGAAAGAGCAGGGCAGCAAAGGTCAGTCTTTCTGGGTAACAGTGACTAGGAATGCCAAGTTGGATTTTTCAAGTGGCATTTTATTGTGCTTGGAAGACTTGCTCTCATTCTTCTCTCAAAACTAAATTCTTCTTTCTGTCAGAGCAAGGAGTGAGAAGCCAATTCCTAATTTTTTAAACAGGAACTGCAGCCTTGCCAAAATAAATGCATGCAGGTACAAAGCAGCAATGCTCTGGCATCAGATCAATTGGGGGCTTTCCCCCTGCTCCCCTTTCTCAAAAGACAAAGCTCTCTCAGCTGCCCCTGTGTGACTGTGGCTACCTGACCCAAACCTTCCTTCCAAGTTGAGCAAGACCTTCTGATGCAGGATTATATGATTAATAGAGGCTGTACCAGCTGTTGTTTCTGAACCCAACAGTAAAGGCTCTTTCTTCCTTTTTTTTTCCCCTTTATCCATTATTCATCTGGGTTTCATTTGAAAGAGTATGCTGGTGAAATGCTAAAGTGCAAAGGTATGTTTTACACATGTGGAGATCTTATCCCCTGCTTCTAGAAAAAACAGTTCCTCCTCATACAGTTGCTGTTTGCTTAGGCCAGCGAGCCCCCTTGGCACTCTCTAGCCCCCTCCTGCATATTTTGCTTTTCGATGCTGGCTTCCCCTGAAATGACTTCAGCGAGGAAACTTGTGAGTCAGAGGCTCTATGGATTCTATCACAGGCATTTGGCAGATGACATCGTCACTGGCTTCAATCTGTCTGAGCATTCTTCAGAAACCAATCTTACAGGGAACATCTGCTTTGTTGTTTCCAAAGTGCTGAATATGAATGTGCGGGGTGATGGCCTTCAAGAGAAGAGCAACAGAGATTCCAGAAAGTCAGCAGATACATCTCCAAAGATCTTCCTCCTTCCTCCCCCTACCCCAGCCTCAAGAAGCAGGATCCATCCGGGCATCAGCCTGTGGCATCCTGAGAGGACCTCCTTGGGCTAGAGTGAATAGTATCCCCTCAATATGCTCCATGGGAAAAGTGGAGCTCAGATGGAGCAAAGGGAGGAAAGAGCACTGACTCTCTGGTCAGAGTTTGTGGGTTCATATCCCACCTATGATGCTTACTACTAGTATGATTTTGGGAAAATCACTTAACCTCCTTGGGTCTCAGTTTTCTCATCTGTCAAATAAGGGAGGTTGGAATAGATGACCTCTGAAGGTCCTTCAGGATCTATGAGCCCTTGAATTAACAATCCCCAAAGGGAGTAGTTTTGGTATTTAAGAAAAAAGAGGGCAGGGCTGGCACCCAGTGGTGCAGATTGAGCCCTATACTCATTTATCTCCTACCCAAAAAAAAAAGGGGAAAAAGAAAGAAAAAAGAGAAAGTCAGTGCTTGCTCCTGACCCTTTAAATATAAAACAGCTGCTGGCTCTTAGAACTACCTAAGTGCCAGAGCTTTTAACCACATGGCAACAACATTCCAGGCCTCCAGTTCCCTATGGTTGTATGTCCCTGACGTTAGTAGGATCCCTCCTACTGATGTGACAGGCAAGAGGGTGTGCTTCTTCTGACATCTTTTCTGACCAGTGAAATTCCAAAGTGTTCATTTATTAAAGGAAGTTCCAATTCCAGCCTTTGCCATATCTATCTGATGCTGCTACATAAAACTTTCATTAGCTTTCATTTGATATTGTTTTAAAATGTGTTCTCTGTGTTAGAGACTAAAGGAAGAAGATATAGATGGTATTAAAAGGAAACTGGTTTACCCCTGTGGTGAGATTTGCATTCAGAACAAAGAATGCTTTTCTACTGGATTAGTTGGCAGTTTAA